AATTATGTTTAATTATTTTTTTGTACATGTATACTGTTTTATACCCCTGTCTGTACGTCTTAATATTTGTATGTACATGTAACCCTTTGGGGTACCCATCTCTTATCCGCAACTCATCTTATACCAGTGAAAGAAATTTAATGAGTTTTACGCAGATTCTTAATTTATGATTCAATTGCGCCTACCATGTTGCCTTTTGATCTTGCACTTTGATCTTGCACTTATATAAGGCCTCCCAGAGCAAAACATAGACATTGCCATTATAATGGTATAGGAGTCGTGGTATCATTTAGTGAGCTTATTTCTTTACATTACATCTAGTTAACTCTCTAAATCAAAGTGCTCAGAGTCCGGCTTCGGTATCATGAAACAGACTTTGGCTTGAGTCAACATTTTAATCATTTGAAAGGTGTTTACTACTTGGGAAAGAAAACTTTAAATTTTGCGCATAAAGACATTTTCAGAATATAATATTTAAAGCATTTTATTTCGAGCTGTTTGACTTTGAAATTTCAATGTACAGATTGTGACTTAAGCTTAAGATGTTTTACAATCATGGAGCCTGATTGAAGACTCCTTAAAAACCTTACAGACTTAAATTTTTTCAATATAAAACTTTAATATAAAATGTAGAAGGCCACAGCTTTACGCTCAGGTGACTTTTTGTGACCCGATGATGCAAAGGCTTATGAAATTTTTACATTGTAATATGTATCTCGTTGTTCGTGTATGACATCACTATTGACATATTTAGGAAGTAAAACTTTATATGCTGCTGCAATTCTAAAAATGAATAAAGTTAGAAATCCAAAGAGTAATCATATTTCCTTCTTACAAAGGAAATTCATAATGCGGAAATAGATTTCAAAATTATTTTTTTAAAAGTACGTTTTTTATTCCAAAGTTGTTAAAAAAGACCTCGTTAATAATGAGTCGCAGCTATCCAGATCAAGCTTACTGGCTAGAAAGAATAAAAAGTGAAAGAACGGAGCGTAAGTATATAGTTTCTAGTTTGTTAAAAATGCAATCTTGATGACATTTTAATATAATATTGAGTATTCTGTTTTTTAAATCAAGGGCAAGATTACAGTTGTCGAGATGACCTCTATTTTTTTTAATTGACACAAGAAATTCACGATTTATATTGGAATTGATTATTTGGAGATGACTTTCAGATCGCTGAACACAGCATATGCAGGGCAGTGGAGTTTCTATTCTATTTATTTTGGATACATCAGAAAGTATGAAAGGCGAAGGATTTCGAGAAATGAAAGATGCGTTTGTATCGATAATTGAAGGCATGTAATATGTAATGTAATATTGATGAATAAAAGTATATATTATATATCATATACTTCCAGTTTGTTTTAAACTGAACACCGAAACTTAATAAAATGGTTTAATGTTTTCTACTTTTTATTGCTTTTTTAAAAATAAATATTATGGCAATTAATTGTGGTTACTTTTGTTTTAGACTTTTATCATCATCCTGAATTTGAACATAATGTTGCTGTCATTCAGTTTGGAAGGGATGTCAAATACCTACATTATAACTCCAACAAGTACTTGTCTTTAATGCACGTTTTAGGTATGTTGAATTGTTGCTTGATCTGTTTGATACAAGTGAAGTATGAAATCTGTTTTGATAAAGTATACATATGAATAACTTTCCTCAAGGGATTCATATTCACAACAGATTTTAATATGTGTAAAAGCATTGATCTTTTTTCCAAGTGTGCTGCTTTAAACAACTAATAAATCGTATGTTTATACCAAGTTTGATTAAATTTTTTGATCGAATCTTAAAAATAATGATCGCCCAGTAAAGTAAGAATTATGTTCAAGAAAACATTTAAATGCCACAAATAGTACTTTACACATTGAAAAATCACTTTCAATCTACTGAACCAGACAGCAATAGAATATATTTCTAACTATTTTTCCTTTTGTCAGGTAATGGTCCCAACAATGGTTTCAAATAGTTCCTATTGACTGCTTAATTAATGTTTTTAAACATTTAACTTCTAAAATCATTTTTCTAGATGGCAATACTTGTGAAGGACCATCAAGTATTATGGAGGGATTAACCTTGTCACTTTCTGGCATAGATGGTGGAATTAGGTTCATATGTAACAATTTCATTCTGTAAAACTCAGATGGGCAACGTTTACTTTATTTTACTTTTGTGAAGTTTCAAATTCATGCATATCAAAGTGATTATCAATTTAACTTCCAAAACATGTCTTAATAGTCAAGATATAAACTTGGATATTTAAAAAGTAATCATTATGATTTAACTTAACTCACCTATCTTCTTCACAGATCAACATAAGCTGTTAGAGTAATATATTGAAAATAAAACTGAATTTAAAAAAAATTATTCAATTGTTAGTACTTTATTGATATAAATCAGGGCGATCTACCAGTATTGGACCATTTAACAACAGAGCCAGGGTTATTATAATTTCGAATGGCATTACAAAGACAACAGATCCTTTAGGCGAAGAAGATGAATATTCAGTGGTTCTCTTTTCAAGTGAACAAACAGTAAAAATTATACTTCATTTAACGAGTATTTCAGAGAGTTAAAAATGCCAAATATGCAAATGGATAATTATACATATACATAATACGAAGTCGGAAATAGCTGTTTAGAGTTAATGTTTCTTTTTTATTTACTCGACTTTAAATAAATATCATAAATTTCGAAAATTGGGTTCTCATTGCAGTAGAAATAATTTCATCAATTAATAACAATTAAAATAAGTACTCAATTTACTTAAATTTGTTTACTATTTTCTAAGAAAGAGCATATTGTAAATCTTCCCAAGAAAATAGGACTTACAAATCCAATAGTCTGCATTCCTGTCGGAAAAAATCCAGATGTTGTGAGTATACTGTATTTTATATCACGTGAACTTGAAATTAAAAAAAAGGGATATGGAATAACGTTTTTGTTATTTTTTAAAAGTGTTTACTTGGAGCACTTGCATATGGATCAAAAGGTGGAAAACTTCTACATCACAAAGAAGCCAGACAGTATGCAAGATATACTTTAAATATGGTATTTATTTCGATATGCATGAAGAGAATATCACAAGCTTTTATTAATGGTATAAAAATCAAAAATAATTTTTTTTTTACTAAATATTGTTCAAGAATATTTTGTAGTTGGTTGCTGGAGAAATTATGGGCAGAATACCCCCTTCTGAATATACAATGGATGATATAAAGGCAGCTGTAATTGATGGAAGAAAACACGTTGGAATAACAGAAAAGGACTTTGTATTTATTTTGACCAGACTTAATTAGATATTAATGGATGTTATTCACAGGCGTTGGTAACATACTATATTTGATTTTACGTTATCTCTATATATAAAAAAAGGAAATGGAACAAACGTCAGCCCGAACTAATATTTACAGGGTCGATCTCGAAAATATTTTAGACGTTGCGAACGGTGTTGGTGTCAGTTTCGGTAACGTCAAAATGACGTTATTTTACGTGAAGTTCTAGAAAATTTATTTGACGTTAATTTTTTGCAAACATTTTTTATGGAGGAAAAATAAAAACCCAGTAATGCCGCCAATTTTATAATGCAGGTAATTGGAAACACCCGTCATTAAATTATATGAATTTCAAATATGGTTAGAATTTAAACTAATTTTCAACATCAATTTTTCATCCAGCTTTACAAAATTTGCCATTTTACGAATCTTAAAAACTTTGCGACATTGAACCTCCAAACTTTGTGACACACCATCTTAGTCAATGTCCCCACAATATATCGGCTTAATATCAGAAACCAAACATACATTTCAACACAAAATATCAGTCTAATTTAATATATAGTTCCTTGCACACAAAAAGGATCATTGACATGCCATTTCAAAATTGATTTTGCTCATGAAATTATTTTTTTTAAGTTACCGATGACATTTGATGTTCCTTAAAAATTTCTTCGGATAACGCTTATCTACATTGCTGTCTTGCATTTTGAACAACGCGTTCACAACATTCGGATTGAACAAAATCACAACTGTAAAACTTTACATCAGTTATATCATATTTTGAACTTTTCTGCTAAATTTTATGTTTGTATTGTTTTATGGAAATTATCAACATTTTGTTATTGCGTGTGCGATGCTCCTGTTACCGATCTACATGCGTTTTTGACGTAATTGATTGAATAGTCGAATCAATATATTTGATAATTGGAATTTTTTTATCAATATTTTTGTTAAAATGTATTAAGTATAAAATTACCGACTGAATGATATATAGTTTTCATATGGTGAATTGTTTTAAAATTATGGAAATAGCGCATATGCCGCCGTAATAGTTATTTTTGACTTATTGACACCAACACCGTGCGCGACGTCTTTGTTTTTTATAGAAAATACCATACAGCCAATAAAATAATAACTAGAATCTCGCTACAATAAATATTCTTAAATAAACTGGAACCTCATTCATTTATATAACGTTTAAGTTGGGTTATACCTTACTAACTTGATATCCAGTCATCTAAGTCTATGTACTTTAAGTCGTCCACTACAACAAGGTAAAATTTGAACATTTCTCCAGTTTTGAATACTCTCCTGAGCTGGAAACACAACCTAAAGATTCAACTTTAACGAAAGCCACGTTTTTCTTTTAATTACTGTAATTAGAATATACCAACTCTCCGATTTTAAAAAAATACGGTGTCTTTTCTGTTCACGACAAGGTCCGAGCAGAGAACAAAGATCATTTTCGAACAACCCATGCAAGTTAGAAACGGAAAGTGATTGGTAAGATCTTTTTCCGACATCGACCCTGCGTAAATTCGGGCAAACTGTTGGTTCCTTTTTGTTTATATTGTGATTACGCAAAATGAAATATGGAATGTTACCGACCCCTGTGATGTGGTTGTCTTTGTACATGTAACTGTGTAACATAAGTGATAAATAAAAATTTTGCAAATACCAAAGACGTAAAAAAAAATGCGAAGTAAATAATGCAATTAAAACAAAGTAATGCACCCGCTTTAATTCAGAAAGATGTGTTTGAAATACTGACGAACAGACACGCGTATGATATGAATGTGTACTCTGATGATGAATCAATGGAGGAGAGTGAGTACTGTGAGCGGGATAGTCGACTTCCGCCTCCAGGAACACGTGTTCGAAGAGGACCTAACTGGCATTATAATGATCAGGACTCAAACGGCCCAAGAACTCTCATAGGACATAATCGAGGTTAAATTTCAATGTATTTATATAGATATACATGTGTAATTGTTTCTTTTGAAAAGATGGCTGGGTTTATGTTGAATGGGATACTGGAATGAAATTTCCATATGAATTTGACACCGAAAATGTCGAGTCAGGTGATATCGTCATCTCTGATGAATCTAGGTTATTGCAAAGAGAAAATATCGCAGTTGGATGTATTGTTCAGAGAGGTAAATTTTTAATCGTCTGCGAATCAGAGCGACACACAAGAATCAGTTAATGCGGCATCTCGTTGTCTGTCTATTTATATCTAGCAATGCGACTGTAACACTTGTACCTCGAGAATGGTAAATAGTTGGTTCTTGGATCACACATATTTTATCCAGACATGAAAAATATCAAATTAAACATTTTTTTTCATTAACAAGGGTTAAAAACCTTAAGATGCATTTACTTTCAAAGAACTAAATGGGCCACAGACGAATTTCACATTCTAAGAGTTATCTCTCTTTGTCGGCGTAACGTCATATTTACCACTTTGTCTTTTGAAAGTTACCTGTTTATATTTATATATCTTCAAACGTTATTGAACTATTTCGATCTGTACCTGTATTACCAGACTATGGGGCAACATAAAAAACTTTATGAACATATTCATACAGATATTTTTTTCTGAGATACTGACCCATAAAGTTGGTATGGTATTAGATGGAAAGAAGTGCCTCATTCTGGTTGACACCCCCCCCACCCAAGGAAAATAACTTTTGTAAATGTGAAAGTCGTCTATTAACAAGTAAAATAGAATTATTTTGTACATTTTAGAATGATGGCTAGGACGATGTAAATTGAAAGATAGATAAATTTTTCTGTTAAGTCTTAAATAATAAAATAACAAATCACAATTTTATTGAAAGGAATAAAATAACAAATCACAATTTTATTGAAAGTAATTAAACCTAAATATTTGTTATACTGGTATATTTATCGAAATTTTATCATCTGCTACCAAACTCTGTAATATGTTAATATGCTAAAGCCGTTTTAGATTAACAGAGGTATTGGTCTAAAAGAAAATGATAACTGTTAAAACTGCTAAGGCAAAATTTTAATTAGAATTTTTTGACTGCATGCACATTCTTAAAAATAATGTTGCGTTATGTAATTTCTGATGTTTTTCCCATCCTCGGGTCCGTTGTACTGCCCTTGAAGATTTCCATCGACGTCCAAGTCTTGATCTTCGTCTACAAGTGGCTCCAGGAATAGAATTTCAAGATTGTGATGTACAGCACATGCTCCTGAAATCAAAATATGTATGCATATATTCATCCAGCAAGTACCTAAATCATGCAAATATTATTACTTGTGAATGCTAAATAAACATGTTCCTAAGCTTATCAAATAAAGACATCTGATCAAGCCTTGTTATATACATTTACCAATGACTGTGCAGACCCTCTCCAGTGTCATCCGTATTTCCGCATGGAGGACGTGAAATCGCCTCTTCCACCAACCAAATGCACGCTCAATGGTCACCCTGGTCTTCGAATGGGCCAAGTTGAAGCGTTCCTGGGCCTGTGTCGATGGTCTTAGATACGGGGTCATGAGGTAAGGTTTACATGCGTAACCGCTGTCACCAAGAACAATCCCATCCTTAATAGAGTGAAACTTCTCTTCTATAGTCTGCCTTATTCCTGACATACGGAATATGTGGCTGTCATGGGTGCTTCCGTGCCACCTACATGTAGCTACTATATTGGTAAATCGGCCTGAAAATGCATGCTCTTCTTTTAAAGTAAAATATAACAGTTTAGATTTCAGAATAACAAAGTAAATCTCACTCTCTCTCTCTCTCTCTCTCTCTCTCTCTCTCTCTCTCTCACCTGTGTAATCACAAATCGCCTGCACATTTACTGAGTGGAAGCCTTTCCTGTTCACATACGCTGGTTCATTTGGAGATGGGGCCTGGATTCGTACATGGGTGCCATCTATACACCCTATGACACCAGGGAATCCAGCCAAATTAAAGAATTCTTTTTTATGATGGCAAGCTCGTCATCTTCAGGCCATTTGATAAATCGGTGAGCCAGGGAAACAAGGGCTCTAGAAACTTTACGGACAACTCGAGAAAAAGTAGACTTGTTCACTCCAACAGTATCAACGACGACTTCAAGAGAACTCCCACTAGCGTAATATCGCAAAGAAATGAGTACCTAAAGAATTGAAATAGGTCTAGATATGAAAAAATTGCCGAAAAAGAAACCAGTAGAAAAATTTACATGTATTTTATGACAAATTACCTTGTTATGACCTATTCTAATTATTAAAAAAAAAAAAGAAAACATTACAATATGTAGTGTTCTATGGAAAAAAATGTAAGTGAAAGGAACAACCTGGTTGGCTTAAAAAAAAAAAAACGTCGGTCACTACCCCCCCCCCCCTTTCACGAAATAGAAGTTTCGAGTTTGGGCATTTATTTATTTATTTATTTATTTTTTTTTTTTTTTTTTTGCTTGTCAAGCTTTACACATGTTACAGGTAAAATAAGAGAAGAAAAATTCTCTGGTTTACCCCCCCCCCCCCTTTCAAAAACGATGCTACGTGCCTGAAGGACATTGTTAGGCAAGTTGTTTTTGATGAGATTTTTTTACAATGTATGAGTCATATTAATTTATTTTAAGTGTATCGGAAACGATATTACTTATGTGTTAATAAACACGTACCTTTGAAATAATTTTGAGCTCGCCGGATTTTATTGTGTTCTGTTTCTAATTCTTTTTCAATCCGACATTTCTAAAAGCGGAAGAGATTGTGGCATGAATTGAAAGAATTATTATAACCGGGTCAACCTCATTGAGGACTCCCGCCTATGATAACTGTATATCACACCTCAACCATCAAAGTTTGAGGAGGCAGAGTCCCAAATGACGTTGGGCCGATCATAAGTTTGTTCAATTACACCCGGGATCGTTTTTAATATATTCGATCAGTGCATACTATTTATGCAAGATATATTACTGTATTCAGCGGCGGCTCACACAAATTGGTCCGACCAAAATAGTCCCATCATGATAAGTAGATAAAACATTATTGTTCATGATAAGAGTAAAGTTGTGTATGTCATACGTTGAAGAAATCAAAAATAACGTCAAATTATTATTAGAAAATCACTTCCCCCCCGAAATGCAAATAAAAAATATTAATATTCCTACGCTCGCTCCCTCCTCAGCCTTTTTTTTTTACATGTTTGATAACAGAGAATATTTAGGTCATTCTTCGATTCATATCTTTTCACCGATGAATTGATAATACTATATCAACAATTGTATTAAGTACATGTTTATAGTCCTTTAATTATCATACAATTTCTTCTTAAAGAAAAAAAATCCTTCTGTGTGTGTGTTTTATTAAATGACGGAATTTTCAATCCCTGGCCGGATTCTGCTCGTGTGTACACTTGGTAAACTGTAGGGTATATAAATGTGTAGCAAAACGAGAACTGGGTCGGAGATTCGGGTTCGTGTTGAAGTCAGCATACCATTTTATACAGAACTTGAATTATGTAAGTAATTTCTGCGACGATTACATTAGTATATTTCAGTAATTTTCAAAACAAAAACGTTTTTAGTTTAGAATTTTCCGACCCGGTCCTGATTTTCCTAACCCGGCCATTTTAAACACAAGTTGTTGCAGATGCAAATGATAGAACAAACTATAGTTCAACAGGGATTGTATAATTTTTATTAATCAGAATTCGTATTCATATGATCTAATTAAGAAATGTTTTGTCTGCCATCGTAACTTCTCGGCAAAACAAAACGTGTTTCTTCGAGCTCGCTGGATGCGTTTGACTGCTCCATTGCACGTGTGTAGACCAAGGCTAATGTTGGTCTTGCGGACACAGGTATGTGTACTGTTTGTTAGGACACTGGGTGACCGTAATGCTACGGACTCACGAAATTTACACCAGTTCCATAATTAGACAGTGCATTTTTTTTTTATTAAAGTCATTATAAACACTGTTAAACATATTAAATCTAAAAGTCGAATATCTTTGGATATGGGGTAACCCATATCTATTCTTGTTATTTTAGTGAGAAGACACACCAAGTGGAATAACTCAATTCCGCTTTTGGATTGTATTAGATCTTTCTTTGATGTTGCGATAGGCAATTCCTTTTGCCCTGAGGACCTTCCCTGACCAGACCTGTATAAAATGAAACAGAGACAGACACAATCCAGCTCTTGTCTTTATTTAAAGAAACAATCCGTTTATTTTATAATTACAATAAATAATTTTACACACAATACTAAACATTATAATAAATATTACTTTGTTACAATATAAACAATCTAAACCTGAAAATAAAATAAACCATCTGAAAACTTAATAATTTACAAAATCGCGCAAGTCTACCAAATAATCTTACCTGTATAAAATGAAACAGAGACAGACACAATCCAGCTCTTGTCTGGCGCACAGGTACTTGTGGACAGGACCCCCCCCCCCCCCCCCGATATTCAACCCCGGGGCTTATTTTACATTTTTTTCTCAATTTATATTTAGTACACTTATTCAACATGTTTGCAATAGGAACAAATCGTCAAAACCCCAAAATAATCGCTCCTCAAAAAAATATGATAACACCCGAGAGTGATTATTATGTCAGGCTAAAACTCTCTCGGACGTTATCGTAATAAGTGTAACATTTTCTATGCACTTCCGTTGCGTTTACCTAAGGAAAGAATGAATCGTTTAAACGTCCACATTTGGCCCCCCAAATATTTACAAAAAAATAAATTTAAGATTTTCTACATAATTTTGCCCCAATCTTTCCATTAAACATTGTAGTTTATTAATTTCAATTTAAAAATTTGCTTTCATAAACTGTAATTCGGTATTTTTCTGATTAATATAGCAGGGGTACATTGTTTACATCAATTTCTCATAGACTTTAGGCCACACCCCTATTTTGTAAGCCCATTTTTTATATGAACGCATTGATGTTTCAATTTGCCGTTTTTATGGACAACGTAAAAAGTAATACTTATCATTTTCATCCATGAAAGAAATTGAAACAATCGTGCGCTCATGTGTTATTTTCCCAAAAACCTCAAAATCACGGGTACTTGTCTCTATAGTAAAGCTACCTTGTTTACAAATTTCAACCCGTCTTTGACCTCATGAATAACAAAGCATTGAACACGTGATTTAAATCTATTCACTTTCACGCTTTGAGCACACCATTTCGACATCGTGTCTAGAGTGTCTGCGAGCTATCCATTGTCAAATCTTATTCCATCGGCTAAAAATACTTGGACAACCTATTTGAAATAATTCTATTTGAAAATACTTGTATTTTGGAGGAGTGCATACTTGATTTATCTATATGCAAGGTTGAATTGTTTTATTTACCTGTTATTGAACGTTATTTTTGCCATTTTCCGTTTGGTTTTTTTTTCTTTCGGTTAGTATCTATCGATCTACTTCGGGGGGGGGGGGGGGGGGGGGGGGGGGCTATAGCCTACATCTGTTAGTTAATCACTGCATATATTTATTAAACATAATTCGTCTGTTTCAAGTAAACTCTCACTTAAACTGCTGGAAGATATTAAAAGTCATAGTCCTTTTTTCTGTAAAAACCGTCATTATACACTGTTATAATCGGAAAACACTTACTTAAGTATTCACCATGCCTAAAAGTATAAACTGTGTTGTTTGTAAAAAGCGCACAAATAAATCTAATCGAAGAACCCTCAATGGAAAGATAAACGAAGTACGGAGGACTGAATTAGCGCGTATTACGGGAGGAAAGGTCACGGTAGATGACCACATCTGCACAAAATGTACCCTCGATATGAATAGGGGGAAGCTTCAGACTTATGGGGGCAATGTTGACGCGAAAACATTTTACATCGGCACAAAATCGAACAAATATTGTGCTATTTTCAGATCCCGTAAAAAGTCAATGAAAACTGTGTCTAAGAAAGCCTGCGGACAGGTATTTCTTAAACATAATGTTATATTGCACGAAAAAGCACGTGTATGCCCCTCTCACTTGTCCAATGAACGCATTTAAAGATCAACATTATCCTGGCTTTCTATCAATATTCAACCGCATACATATATTTGTTGGAACACTCAGTTTTTTTTTTTGTTTTTTTTTTTTGCAAAATTATATGCTATTGATAATCAATTCGACGTGTAAAAAAACTTTAATGAAATTATTATCGCTTTAGAATTAAAATAATTATCCCTTGAGAAATAAGCTAGGTTACTGTAAAATCTTAAAAATACTTTCCTAGTCCTAAAAATACCATCTTTCGTAAGACATTATGTTTACAGACACCATATCATTGTGTTTACATTTTATTTCAACGAATTTCAAAAATAATTATTTCATTGATATACTCGTTTTAAAGCTAAGCAGTAAAAACAAAACCTAAACCTGCCAATATTATTACATAATATTATGGTCGGTCCCAAGCCCGAAGAAAAGGTGAGGGATTTTTAAGATTGTTTAGTTATTTAATAAGATATCACTTAAAAACTATATTAAGTACACGTCGAACACTCGATAATATATTCACACTATTCGCACGCTTGATTGACGCTCCGCTTCCTTATTCAAATAATACAATGACCTACATAGCCGCAATGGCGAAGTTGAGATTTGGCACTGATGTATGCAATTTTATTTCATTGATATTATGTATATATTGAGAGTCTCTCTATCAAAAAAGATTTGGAAGTGTTTGTATTCATACCATACTTGTACATATTAGCTAAAATATGTCAATGTTCTGATTTGAAAAGGCAAAAATCCGTGTTTAAAAAGGGGCCAGATCGCAATGTTATGAAGAGTCATTCTTTCAACATTCTAACTGGAATGCTGTTTGTGGGATTCTTACGAGATGCAGAGTCAATTCGATAGCATTGACTGAGACAGAAATATATGTAAAGACAGCGTGGACCGACATTTTAGGTGAAAATAAAATAAATACATGTTTTTAAACCCAAAGACCAGTGGGGGTACAACGTAAACAAACCGAAGTTGCTTACCTTTCTCTCTTATAATGTATAGTGGGGTATTTTTTTGAGGAGCGATTATTTTGGGGTTTTGACGATTTGTTCCTATTGCAAACATGTTGAATAAGTGTACTAAATATAAATTGTGAAAAAAATGTAAAATAAGCCCCGGGGTTGAATTAATATCGGGGGGGGGGGGGTCCTGTCCACAAGTACCTGTGGTCTGGCGTATGTCCGTCGTCCGCTCATTTTATACCTCAGCTCTTACTCCGTTTTTCATCTCCATATTCGGATCGCCTTCAAAATTTCCAATAATTACTTTAATTTCAAATTTGAATTTTTAACTATCATTACTCTATCCTTCAACACTCTTAGTTTACTAATGCGTTTTAAAAATTACTTCCTGTCTTTTGCAAAATCTGTTAATTTCACCTGATATATCTAATTTATTCGTATAACTGACCCCTGGTCACTCAAATGTTATTGGACGCTCCTTCCTCCTAACCAAATAGATCTTCTGATAAACAAGAAAAACTGCATTCCAATGATTCATTTCTTGGAACCGGCCAGGTTAAAGTTCAACTCTTATTTGTTTACCTATTGAACTGCTTCTATATGATCGCGCCCACGTGTGCTATCTCCGCCAAGTTAATTACGCTGAGCTGACCAATACAAATTCATCCCATATGTTATCTTCTTATTTTTTTAGTGCAACTTTTGTTATGATAGAATTAAGAAAATCATAATGTTAGAATTTAGTTTTAACTTTTTATAGAATCACTTTGGTCAATCACGAAATAAATTACCGAATAGAAAAATTCAGTTTCGTTTTTCAACTTTTTTATAGGTACAAAGTTCAAAATAATTCAAATCGAATCCAGTTTTTCTCGATTTACGGGCATAAAATTATGAAAAAACGTTCATATTAACGCATACTTAGTATTTTGATGTGAACTAAATCTTACATAGAATTTTTGACACCAAATAATCATAATTATATGAATTTCATACATATGTATGTACATGTAAATTAGTCAGTTCAGGATTAGTGTAATTTATGTTACAGATTTTATTAATTTGGGCTTTGACAATTTTTCAAACATGGAAAAAATAAATCAATCCTATTAAACGGAATATTTTTTACATTCGACTGGCCTTCGGTGTCCCTGGCACGAGTAATTAGTATTTTTTAAATAATAATAAATGATTTTATTTATCATGTTTATTGCATAATTGGGCCAAGCAATATTACAATTCAGCATTGAGGGCCCATGATTGGTGAATAAACATATTTTTATGAATAAAAAGGAGAAAAATCATGAAATATGTATACAACATATGTACAAGGGCAAATGTACCCCCTCCCCCATTATATACCGGGGTATATGGAAGAGGCACTGTAAGTTTCCAAGCACCTACCTGCCTTGATAAGCGAAGGGGAATAACTCGTATTAGAATCAATTCAAGAATTTTGTCGTCACGGTTCACCTGTTTATAATCAAACAAACAAAAAAATTAAATCACTATTAGAAATCAACTTCAGGTATAGAAATATGCATAATTATTATGAATTATTCCTGGTTCATTATTCTTTGGTTATCTATCAGTATGGGTAAATAATGTAAGGTGACGCAATATGTGATGTAATCAACCAAACCGAAACAAGGAAATGGGGGTAGGATGGTGGTGTTCTTGACTATTTTGGTATGGACAATACATTGTATGACCAAGTAAGTTTTTCAACCAGTTATGTACCTGTAATTCCGTTGATAGTGCCTTCGACCTTCTAGTTCTGTGGCCGATAATAGGATCAAGAAGCTCTTTTCAAAAGCGATATCGCCTACGGATGTCCTCGTCAGTCATGTTTTGTACAGAGAAACGTTCTCTAAACACTCTATCAGCCCTCCTTCTTCCCAACTGGCCAAACAGTACGTTGGCCGCCATAGTTAATGAACGTTTAAAGAAGCCCTCTTGGGTTCATTAAAATTAGAGAAGCAGAGGCGTAGTCACAAACTTAAAAGTGAGGGGGCACAAGTCCAGAAATTCTTTGACAAGCAAAAAAAAAAAAAAAAAAAAAAAAAAAAAAAACACAAAACACTAACTTAAAAGTGAGGGGGCTCAAGTCCAGAAATTCTTTGACAGGCAAAAAAAAAAAAACAAAAAAAAAAACCCTTAAGTGAAAGTTCCCCAAACTCGAAAATCCTATTTCGTGGGGGGGGGGGGGGGGGGGGGGGGGGGGGGGGGTAGTGGAAATTTTTTTTTTTCAAAGGCAAGTTACTTTCAATTCCAATTTTTTTGACCCGCATTATACAACTATATGCTTACTCAGTTGTTGAATACAGAAAAAATGCCATAAAATGAGGTTTAATATTGTTTTAAAATAGCTGTGATTTTGTTCTTCATTAAAAAGTGGGGGGGCACAGACATACTCTTGCCCCCCCAGATCTGAAAGTGGGGGGGCTAGTGCCCCCGCTGCCCCCCCTGTGACTACGCCTATGAGAAGTTAATGAGGCTTTAATTCACCGATTCGTTCATTAAAAAATTGATACGACGGAATTTAATGACACATTAAAAATGATCAGTTTAATGAAGCTTTAATCATTCATTAAATATTGATACAACCGGATCCTGGCAGGTCCTGATTGGCAATGGAAAAACCAAGATGGCGGTCCTGGCAATATTGGAATAGCGTATAGAGTCAAGGAAAACATTGTCTATGTAAACATTGTTTACTTTTAAATCATGCGTGGCTCATTTTCTCATTCCGTTTAAAACACGTTTTATACGAGGGTCATTCAAAAAATACGTAGACAATGTCCTCTATCATCATATTATTCTTACAACATTTAAGATCAACACATGTTCATATGTAAAAACATTTATTTTGTCAGTGTGTAAAGTTTTATTCGATTTGATTAAATGGAACTCGTGTAAGACAATTTTATAAGCAGCATGTTTTGTCACCACGGAGCACGGTTAACAATACCGTGACGTCAAAATCAACGTCGAGAAAGTTTCTCAAAATCGTTAAGCTTTTTTTCATTTCATGCACGGTTTGTACCTTCTTCTCAATTCATCAAATTGTATCCATAGCCCTTGAAACCTAGTTCGCTAGCAATTGTTTGAATATATACTTTACAGGTAGATTCTCAATGTTTTCAATTCTTTATCATGTTTATTGCGTAACTCTTTTTTGCACAAGTTCCGCAAAAATGAATCGCACATCACATTTCATGACGTTACTTACTCATTGACAATCTTTTTTACTATTATTTGTTTCTTCGTAGACCGTTCAGGGTCCTATTTAAAGTCTTTAACACTCAAAAAATAGTCATTTCCATTGAAAACAAATGCATAGCACATTTTGTATCTATTTACTGGCTCATTAAGCATTCTCAGAGTTTGTTTTTAAGGTTTCCCGAATGCAAGACAAAATTTTATCGCTACTCGCTGCTCCGTGACGTCCTTCGACGTCATCGTTTTTTGCATATTTTCATGAAGTCTATCTGCCTTCAGAAATTGATATCTTTTTAACGGAGCGATGTATCACATTGAATTTTAGCATCTGAAGTAATAGAACGATACTTAATTTGAACAAATCAATTTTATTTTGTTTAACTCTATGACTCTAGACATTATAAAGTGTAAAATTAGTAAATAGTTCTATTTTGACCCTGCTCTGTGACCCCATTTTTGCTGTATTAAATATTTAATAATTTTGATAATTATCAAGATATTTTCCAATTTTTTGCTCAAATTATTCGAAATTGTTGTTAAAATATGTGTACTCAGTCTGGTTATAATACGACGTTAAATAAAAAAGTTATGACAAAAGTCTACGAACTTTTTGAATGATCCTCGTATAAGAAGATGGGGGAATAAGGCGGACAGAATGCCTATATAGCATGTGCATAGCGCGACAGATAAGAGGTGAAAAATTTAATCTCAATTATATCCAAATTTTATTTCATATTTCATCTAATACTAAAGTATACTTAATGTAAAATCTAAAAAGACTGAAAATATTTGCCTACGAAAAAGCATACACAGATTTAAAAGAAAAAAAAAACGATCAATTTTTCATACTTTAACAAACTTTCATACTTTAACAAAATTTTTCAATATGACTTGGTCTTCGCTCCATTTTTTTGAAAGAGAATCCTAAAAGTTTTCGATAAAATACATGTAGATATTTTTTGGTTTACAAAAAAATGAAGCGAAGATCCACTATATCTTAAAAGTACACTTTTATGACAAAACATTCGCATCTTTCCGAGAAATACTTCAAGTCCATAAAGTCAAGGGTAATATCACAAACATGATTTAATTGCATTAATCGTCATGAGCTATGTAGCATAGCGGTTATTACTTTGTCTCAAAGCAGTATGATACTTCGGTAATTTATTGCTGGGGTTCGAATCCCACGTATACCATCTAATATTTTAATTTATAAATGAAATTTTTTAGAGATTTTTTTTCTCTCAGATTATGTTTTTTCCCCATAATTTCATAAATTTCAATAATGAACGGTAAATTTTAATACTCAATTTACATATCAAATGTCTTAATATCTGACTCTATAGACATTCTGCCCGCCTTATCCCCTATCTTCTTTATTAACTTTTAGGTACGATGGTACAATGGAAATAAAAGCAATTATAGATTTGGTTATGATGGCAAAATAGATATTGTCGTTTGATTAGTCTGATTTTTTTTTCAAATATTAATTTAATGATAAGTTGTATTTCTTAACTTTTAAAGGTTAAACTAATTTTAAAATAAATCATAATTCAGCCTGGTGTTGAACTCTCGACCTTCGGAATCTGTCTCCTAGCAGTGCAGGACAACGGGCTGGACCTCTCGGCTATCTAGGCAAGTCATAAAACTTGCTTTCGATGCCGATGGAAATATATATATATATATATATATATATATATATATATATATATATATATATATACTTCCGCCCCACCCCGGGGTTGTACTCTCGACCTTCGGAATCTGTCTCCTAGCGGTGCAGGAACAGCGCGCTAGACCACTCGGCTATCTAGGCAAGTAAAACTAGAGGTACTGTGAGCGATGAGCTCACTAAATGATACCCCCCGCCTCCATATAGTTATAATGGCAAAGTCCATGTTTTGCTGTGGCCGGGAAACCCAAAATATATGTCGAATCAAAAAGTAAAATAGGAGGTGCACAATGGCAATATGTAATAAAGATTCTGTGAAAGTTTCATCAAATTTCATTCAGTGGTATGAGAGGAGTTGCGGATAAGAGATGGGTACTCCAAAGCGTAACAGACGGACGGACAGACAGACGGAAGGACGGACGGACAGCTAGACGGACGGACGGACAGACGTACAGACGGACGGAATTAACGATTACTATATATCCTCCCGCTTTTCAAGCGGGGGGTATAAAAAAACTTGCTTTCGATGCCGCTGGAATTCTCGCGGCGCTGCCCTACACTACATGGTCATTGAGAATAGAAGTGAGATACAGTTATTTGGACATTTGTTTTTTAAAAGAGGATTGTTACCAATACATGTTGTAATGAAATTAAGTATTATTTATAAAGCACATTTTACAACAACTCTTAAACTAACATAACTGCCCTAAGTGAAGAAATATTGAAATACAGCTACAGATCGAAATTGTCAAATAACGTTTGAAGATTAAAGATAGTAACAGCAAGGGCGGATCCAGAGGGGGGGTCCAGGGGGTCCGGACCCCCCCTTTTTTGCTGACCAAAAAAATGTATACACCCCCCTCCCTCCCCCCCCCCCCCCCCAAAAAAAAATTAGAAATATAAATCAAGAAAAAAAGGAAAGAAAGAAAAAAAAAGAAAAGAAATAGAAAGTTGACGAGATTTTACCGGAAACATCAGCGCTGTACGTATACAGTTTTGTTTAGAATAACTCTGAAGCTGCTTCCAGTAAGGCAAGAAGATTAAATTGTCCATAATTCATAAATATTTTGGTAAACTTTTACTTTTTTTTATTAAAAATTGTTTATATTGAACTAGTTTACTAGCCAAATGTTTGATTCTTGGGCTGAGTCATACACGACGATTTTGAAAAAAGGTCGTTTCACGTGTAACACAAATACATGTGGAAGGCTGGTTGTTTCAATGTATCATGAACATTGGCTAACATATACAGTAATATATTGACGGTGTGACAGTTGTAGCGAGCACAGCTTTATAGTACAAACTTTATGCTCTGAGTTCAAACACAAAACGGGGGGGGGGGGGGGGGGGGGCTTTTCTTTTTAATTCCCAAGCCATGAATAGATATATAACATACAGATGGAGTACAAAATTTATAAGAAGCCATGTGATCTGAACAAACTTTGTTTATCAAAAAAAATTCAGTTCATGAAAGGGTTAGGCAGTAGAACAAGCACTGCAGCTATTTCAGTTTTTTGCATATTTTTTATAAAACACATAGGGGCCTATTATACTATATTTATCACATAAACGTCACGTTTCAAAACTACACGTGGGGGTGGTTATGTACGTTATTATCAATTTAATTAATTTTGATACAAATACCCCAAACTATGCTTAAATTCTCAAGTTTGTGAACGGCACAGTGTAGGGGAGGGGTCTACCATTGAGTTTTATCTTCAGAGAGAGTCAGCTTTTAATATTCCTTTTAAAAGGGGGAGTCCAGTTTTACTTTTTTTTTTCTTTCTGTTTTTTTTTTTTACAATTTGTAGGAAAAAACAGGTTGGGGTGGTTCCCTACCCTCCCCCATGTAATGTACATGTATATTTTTAAAGTAAAATAAATTCTAGATAGGCCTTCATGTGCGGATACCCCTTCCCCCATTTTTTTGGTTATGTGTGCCTACGAAATAAAAAAAAAGTATCAAAATTGTATATCCTTGTAGCAAAGAGAGAATTATAACTGAAAATTAATGTTAGTAATATGCCTCTGCTGGTGGACGTTTAGTCCCCGAGGGTATTCATAAGCCCAGTTTCGTCTGGTACTCCAGTGCTAGCATGAAACGGATACCGGTATATAAATTTTAATGTGATAAATTTTAGAAATAAAGGAGTATCTCCCTCAGGCATAGCTCTGATCCTTGTTCGGATTTTGGCTCATGTTCGGCACTTTCGATCCATGCTCGTAGCTCTTTATCTTTTTTAAGATTTCCAATAGTTTTGGTCTGAGCATCACTGAAGAGACATTATTTGTCGAAATGCGCATCTGGTGCATCAAAGTTCATACCGTTCATTTCTTATGAAAAATATAGAGTTTTACGATATTTCTGTGAGATCTGTCACTCCAGTATAATTGACCAGAATAGTAAATGTCTAAAGTTGATAGAGCAATTCGCTATAGATATTTGGGACTCTAGCTCTGATCAGAACAGAGTGATATTGGGTTAATTTCAAACAATTGTTTTGTATTATTAGTCTCCCTTTCTCGCTTTGCTGAGAAGAGAGAGGGGTGCTAGTTTACTCTCGGTCCATCTATCCACCTGTCTGTCCTTCCGATTGCGATTTTCCGGATTTTTCTTTGCACTGTGCCTTGAATACTCACAGAACAAGTATATTCATTACGTTTGACATACTCTTGACTGAATTATATTACCGTTAGGGGACTTCATTTTGCTAGTTTTGGGGAAAAAGGTTATTAATTTTATCATATAGACTCTTACTTACCATGATTGCCTATTCTACTTTCCCGTCTACAATTTATTTGATGATATTTGAAAATGTAAATGTAGTATATCTCCGTTTACCGCTGAATATATCAAGTTTAAAAATTTTGTTCGCAGGATGGATCTAGGCAGCAATTCTTCTCTGTATACTTATATATTTGAAAATAAATAGCAATTAAATGTTAAAAAAACACCAAGTAGACATTTTCTTTAGATCATTTACATGTACACAAACAAAGTGGGGTGAAAATTGGGAGCGGTAGATGTTGCAAACAGTACCTTATAGGTCAAAATGTTGGACCCCCCCTTTTACAAATTCCTGGATCCGCCTATGAACAGGTAGGCCTAACTTACAAAAGACAAACTTGGGAAAAGGAGCGTTACGACGACAACGGGAGATGACTCTTAGAATTGCAAAATCCATCTATTTAACCTTTACTTTCCAGATTGACTCACTTTTAAACACTTTAACCAACTGGACATAACTCTGGAACAGTGAGTGTTAGGGTCTAAATGTTTTACTTGTATTTTTCGTGTCACAAAGACTATAACCTCAACCATATGTTTTTTTAACAGTTTGTGCTAATTATAAGGCGTAAATACATTTGTATATATACATTCTAGATCTTTCCTTAGACTTAAAATGGTTCGCAGGCTCCTTGTTTGTGACGTCACATTGTAAAAATGACGTCAATATGTAGGTCACTTTTGACGAAAAGTGGTTGTCTCAGTCGTAAACGTTCAACAAACGACTGTAAGATTTATGGTATATCTTGGAGAAATTTTTTTTAGGTAGCGTATAATAATTTGTACACAGTTTATTAAGACAAATGCTTGGATCGATCGTTTAAATGAAGGAAGGCAGATGGTTAAAAATGATACTTGTTATGTTGCCTAGTTAAAGCAAGTTTGAAAAGAAATGTGATTTTAATTAAGCTATTTGCAATCAAAGACATCCAATTTACACTTAGAAAAATAGTAGAATATTTTACATGTAACATTAATATAATTATTAACTACCTAAGATATAGTTTACTTTAGATTTTAAACATATTAGATACGATAAAAAGGAGGAACCAATTCTCTATCCATCTTGAATAAACATCTCTCCTGAGTCAGAAGATTTGGATTTTGATGGTTGCCATGCTTATTTTTGGAAAATTATTCTTATCCACCCATTCTGTTGCCAAAATTTGATCATTTCTGACAAATTAACTGTTCTTGTTATAAAATTTAACTTACATGGAAAGAAATATAAAACTAAAAGAAATCTTTCAGCTTTTGTGACAAAACGCTACGGAGGGGGTCACGTGACCGCCTATATCACATGATTCGCGCATGAGCAGAACGGTGGCAGATGTGCATTAAAATCGAAGAGGACTAATTTAGAATATAATTAGTACTGAAACCAAATATTGTTTCTTTTATGGAAGTTATTTAATTAGTTCGCGAACTTTTTGATCACCCCTCGTAGTGTGTGTGTGGTTTTTTTTTTTTTAAGAAAAGCAACATTGTGATATCATACATTGTATATACAAATGAAAAATGTGCAGGTTTCAATTCCAATTTGACAAAAAAAAGGGTTTCTAATTAATCTGCACCAAAATGGTATGAAAACATAATTTATTTTGCAAAGCAAATTTTTTAATTTGTCTACCTGTTGGAGACGCGGTGTCCTATTATGGTTTAAGTATCCCCGAAAAAGAATACAATAAAATTTGTTTTTCGACATTTCATTTTGAGTAACATTTACGTTTTTGGACTTGCTAAAAATATTTGGTAATTTATTTTTGGAAAGCGTTGCTTTGAATTTTCATTGGCCATGATTTCATTAAATAAAATAATTGTGGATTTTAAAAATAGATATGCATATCCTATTATGAAAATGAGACATTTTTTTAGATTAGTTGAAACTGTAACTAGACGTTTCCCTGTGGAGAAAATACACACATTGTATCGACAGGGAAGAACATGAGTGCATCAATTGTGTAAGTCCCATATTATCAAAATTTCTTTTGAAAATTCTTTGTAGAATATAGGGTAAAATAATTATAATGTTTTGCTATATCCTGCAGATTCCTGAATGTTAATAGAGAAGTTGATGAATATTACTGGCATAGACTTGCCGAACATGAGGCTTCAGAAAGTAATGTATCCATCGATACTTTTTTCTCTAAATTAGAAATTTATTCAATAAACAAAACAACCTTTGAAACTATTTTGATAACTTAAAAAATCACCAATTTGAAACATCTAAATAGATCAGAAAAGAAAATACCAACATGGGGTAGGTGTGTGTACAGTATTTCTTCTCGATACATCCGCAAGTATGGCAGGGGGAGGATTTCAACAAATGAGGAAGGCTTTCTTGGACATATTAAATGGTATTTTCCTGTAGATAAAGTCACCCTCAAATGAATAACGTGGTTTTGTACTTTATATTTAATCAGCTAAATAAATACCGTATAAGTGGAAATTTGAGCGAGACGCAAATTTAGTAATTTCTCCTTAAAAATTGGTAATTTATTTTTAGCGATTTTATAATGCTTACTTAAGAAGCTATAACAAATATAATACAATTAATTTTTAGCGATATTAAATTTGAGCGATCTCAGGATACTAATAATGCCAAAGTTAAATCCTCGCTAAAAATTCTACTTATACGGTATACTAATACATATAGGAGTATTAATAATGTAACTACTTACAATAATCCTCATGGGGAGTTTATATTGAGTGATTATGTCTTTCTCATAAAAAAAAATAGCGGACTGTGAATATGAATTTGAAAATCAAATATATGTTGGCGTTTTATTTGTTGCAATTTCAGAATTCATTGTTCATCCACACCTCGACGAAAATGTTGCCGTCATTATGTTTGGTGAAGAAGTCAAATTCTTACATTATTATTCAAACAACTATGGATCCATTAGAGATTGTCTTAGTACATTTCATTTAATATTTATTTAACTTTAATAATATCAACAATACGTCAAGTTGAAGAGTTGTTTTATATAAATAGCAAAGTTTCATTATTGAAGAATTGAAGTAATAGGCCTCTTCTTTAGATCACATAGAATGTAGAGGGAGCTCGCCCATGGAAGCAGGCATTCTTCTTTCTTTGTCCTGCATACAATACGGTGGAGGTAATAGAAAAAAGTGTGACTGAGATCTTGTCGCCTTTATCTTAAATACTGATTTGATAATACGTTGACATTACAACTTTAACCATATTTTTTATGTAAAAAAGACTTTGAATTAATTGTCTTTCATTTTATCACCAATTAATGGGAGTCTTAATTTTCAGACAGGTCAACGTAAAAGAAAAAAAGATACTTTGTAATAAAAAGCAAAAATAAAAACTCTGTGAAATAAATTTATACCAAACAAATAATAATAATAAAATTTAAGAATACAAAGGTCTGAATTCTAACAAGGTTATTTAAATTTGTTATGACACAATAAAAGTTTAATACATGTAACTTTCCTTTCTAGGTCACAATGCCGTTTTTAATCATCATATAAGTGTACGACCAAGATTGGTTATAATTTCCGACGGTCGGCCAACTACATCCAGTGATATAGGTAGTCCAGAACTGGAAAATTTTAGTAAAGAATCGGGTTTTGACGGCGTAAGTTATTTATAGCAAGCATAATGCATGAAATACTTGCATGTGTTAAAGTATATAATTATGAACAAAACAGAACAGTAATTGGAGGTAATATCTAGATCAATTTCTACATAAAATTTTGAAGTACTGTCAATGTCGTTGTTATGTGTTTCAATATAACATTATTATCTGTAAATGGAGTTAAGGTCAAGATCTAGTAAATGGAAGGTCCCTACAGATTTTTCAAATTTTAGAAATTAATTCCTTTATAACATGCTTTATAACATTAGCTTGGTCAAAATAGGTGTTTCGGGATATAATCTGTAGAGAAACATGATGAAAAACTATATTTTAAACTGTTATTTTCAATGAAAAAAATAAGAAAACCAGTGTTGAAAATGGGAGTTTTTTCCATATCAGACAAAGAAAATGTATCCAGATTGCCTACAGTTTTTCAGAAAACGGTTATTTGTATGTTCTTAGTCTCTACCTCAAAATAATGTTAAATTTAAGATAGGTATCGGGATTACTTTTCATGTGATTTCAAATTGAATTCCATGTAAATACTTTATTTTCTACATAATTCTATTAGAGCCGTAAAGTAAGTTGAAAGTGATTATGACGTAATAATGGACTTAGCACTAAAAACTTATTCTGAAGTCACTTACTAGATCTTGACCTTAATGTCTCCCATTTGATTAGCTAGACAAGAACACACTCTTCATTCAAAAAAATTGAAACATGACAAGCTATTGACAAAAAATTGATAAAACAGGATCATCAACAGTCTAGATCAACATTTTAAAGTCTATCATTCATACAGTAACGTTGACAGCAAAATCAATCTTTCATTAAGTCGAATGTTGACCGAGTTATTATATTTGTTGTCATCCATCTATCATTAGTGAATTGCCTACATTTGTTTATCAACATAGCACACTGTAGGTATGAGAAATCTACAGTGGATTCTTATTTCTCTATGGTACCTTAATCCATCTCTGATGTTTTAGAGATACATGTTAACTTGCCCTGCTTCCAATTTGAATTGTTTCAATGGATTTTTTGAGCCTGATTTCTATTTGCTATCTTCATATTTCATGTAAAATAAATATGGAGTGATTTGAAATAATGAATTGATAATAACTTGAAAACATAGATTTCTGTCTCATAGAACAATTTTCCTATCTTTATAAACAAAAGAAAAACATAAACCAAAAACGTAGCATAATATAAGTGAATAATTTAAACATTAATATTTGCATTTTCAATATCTCTATCCGAGATAAAATTACAAATAGTAGAAATACTTTTTTTCTACATAAATGTTCTGGTTCATCGATGGGTGCGGTTACAAAAAAATCACGTGCGTTAAGCAACGAATGGAGACAGAAGCGGGGCTTGTAGCATTTGCGGAATAAAAAACATGTTAAAATATGGATATTTTTGTTTTATGATGATGATCAATTCTTTGCTTGCATTTATGGAAATTATCACGCAACCAGTTCGATTCACACCATGAAACCCAAAAGTTAGACAGTTATCCTTTACACACTTCATCAATCTAACTTTTAAAACCAATTACCCTTTACGGGAATTGTTACGGAATAATTCCATTCCAGAAAAAATCTGTGTTCTTTTTCAGACATTAACGAGAATACAAACTTTGATGAAAACAATTGGAAAGACTTCGCCAGTAATGTGCATTCCCGTAGGGTCAGATCCAAATGTTGTAAGTGCATATTCGTAATTCTTTTTGGTTTGTATTTTTGTTTTGTATTTTTGCATTTCTGCATTTTTTTTCTCTAGACATTTTTATCATTACTTGCTATATATACGCAGGTGACTGAATGGTAGACTTTTCCATTCATTTGACCTTCAGTTAACTGTCAATATACTTTTTGAAAACTTTTAGTCACATTTCAGTAAACTTCAGGTATCTTTTAGTAAACGTTTAGTTATCTTTTAGTTAACTGACTGTCACATTTCAGTCATCTTTCAGTCACATTTCAGTAAGCCGAATCCTACTTATTCATCGTGTGATAGAATTCATGTATACCGTATAAGCGGAATTTTTAGCGGGGTTTTAATTTTGGCATTATTAGCGAGTATGCAGAGACCGCTAGAATTTAGTATGGCTTAAATTGCGGTAAATTTGTAGTAGCTCCTTTAGTGTGCATTAAAATCGCTAAAATTACATGTCGCTAAAAATAAAATACCACTTTTTAAGGAGAAATCGCTATATTTGCGCCTCGCTAATTTTCCACTTATAAGGTACTCTATATGCAGATATCATTAGCTAACTAGAACCATTTAATTTTTTTATTTAAGGATTTCTTAAAGTCATTGGTGGAAGTATCTAAAGCAGGCAGACTTATTTTCTATGAAGATGCAAAACAGTGTGGAAGGTTTGCTCTAAACATGGTAAGAATATATGTTTGTGTACTTGAAAACTCAACTTTATAAAGTTAATAATCACTACAGTTAGATCCTTTTACAGAGAATTGCGTGCTGCATTGCAGAAAAAGGAATGTCATTTAACTTAACCCGGGAAGAAATAAAAACCATCGCCAAAATGTCCTCTTTACATGACGTGTCTACTAAAGATCTGGTATGGATTTTGTTTAATTACATCATAATTATTTATTGGGTTCAGTTCTCAATCACAAAAGAAGGTTGTGTAATAAATATGGAAAGTCTTATTTTATTTACTCATTAAATAAAATTAGCATTTTCATCTGCTTTTTTGCGAAGGAGGATGTATGTGATATAATAAACGAGATAGGTGCATACAAACCAATTACTGCTGAAGACCTAGAAGAAGATTTGTTCACTGAGCGATATGAAAATCTTCCTTGCATTGGTACAAGAGTAAAGCGTGGACCTCATTGGACCTACAAAAATCAGGACTGTCACGGTCCTGGTACAGTGATTGGACATTCTGAACGAGGTAAAAGTGCGACCCAAGCTACCAAACTAACAAACAGATATTGAAATTTATAAAAGGGGTTAATGTTTTATAAAACCTGAAATTTTCAGCGCTTGTAAAGTCTATGATTAATTTGAAAAACGTTTTAATTAAATAATTTTTTTCAGTTGGATGGGTAAACGTAGAATGGGATAGTGGTGTAAGATTGAGCTATCAATATGGATTTGATGGCTTTGTTGAAAAATACGACATCGCTTCATGCCAAGAACCAAGGATTCTAGAAAATGAGATGATTGCCGTGGGTTGTTGTGTTACCAGAGGTATTTTACTATGTATTTATGCCTTTCCAAAACTTCCAATTCTAATGACTGTTCTTACATGTAACCTTCCGAGAGTAAAATTGAATTATTTCAAATTGTCTTTACTATTTAACGCTGGTTAATCATCTTATAAAAGACTGAAACTCAAAAAGGATGGATCCTCTTTTATATTTGATTTTTATAGGTCCTTTTTACGACATCTTATTTCATTTTGCAATATGGAAATATTCAAACAAAATAAAATTAAAATTATTTTTATTAAAGGTCCTGACTGGAAATGGGGAGATCAGGATGGTGGGGAGGGGAATGTTGGAACGGTGTATAGAGTTAGAAAGGATGCTGTTGTCCTTGTGAGTACAATAAAATGCTTTTGTTGATAGAACAAAGATATAATCCTTAAATTCAATTTTAATACAATGTATAAAAACTGATAGACAAGAACTGTCCAACACGTTTTAATCTTTAGGTAAAATGGCCAAACGGTAATCGTAGTAACTATAGATTCGGGTACGACAGCAAATACGACATTACTTTGTGGTCAGTACATGTACTTTTATTACACTTGCCACTATCAGTTAATATATCGTATAAGACCTAACAATTTTACATTGTTTTGCAACTGTTTACAGAAATTCAAAGTTTTTTCATTCCCTCTTTTGCATTTTTAGTGATCCATTTGATCCGCTGGTGATTCAGTCATTAGATTATCAACACAGATCAAACTTCTCTGGAAATTCCAGAAAGGAGGAACATAAATCTTGAAAGGACATTAAATAAATAATTGAACATTCGATTTATCATTTATAAATTTTATATAGAATTTCATTTCTTTAAGAGAAATAGCTGTAACAAACAGTATTAGATATACGATGGGTGATCAAAAAAAAAAACAAACAAAACTTTTTGATCACCCCTCGTAATGTATACGATATTTAACTTTAGCAGATCACTTGCTAAAAATGCCAAAATTAAATCCTCACTAAAAATCTGCTTTTACGGTGAACCCGATTTAGCATTTTGTCCTTACCCGTTTGTAGAAAGCATCCTCACTTTATTGAGCTGCATAGTATTTAAAAAAGTATTGGATAAGAAGATGAAAATGTTGGTATGGGTAAAAACTGTGCTTCATAACACCATTCTGAAAGACCAACAAAAAAGACGTAGATCATTGATGTTTGGGAACACAAACCATTCAAAATGTCCATTGTTCAGAAGGATGAAGAACTCCAATTTTTTTTTAAATGTCAAAAGATTGCAGTTCAATTGTTCGATCAAAACCTGTAAAGACGACAACAAAAAGAAGTCAATGCCTTGAGTACGAATCGATGCTATTGTTTACAGTGAGAAACGTTGCCAAGGCATTTAAAATAATCCATTTGTTAATGGTTTATCAAACATATTACATAAAAACGTATGATAAACTTAGATATTGGATGTTAAAACATTTGCCAATTTTTACCCTAAAAAGTGAAGAACAATATTGAAAGATGATTTGAAGAGAAAGCTGTCGATTCAGAATTTGAAAATTGGTTGAACAGGTGTTCACTTTAGTCAGGCATTCCAATGCATGAAACTTCAAAGAAGGACCATCAATAGGAGTTTAACTTTAATAGTTCATTGAAGACGGATCAGCTTTTCTGTAAGGAAAACCACATACCTGCAACCGGGCAAATTTTCTTTTGTGTAACAACGCAACAAATGAATTTCAACGCTGCTGCAGATAAAGGAAATTGAGGAGTGAAAGTTCTTATGACTCTTTTAATTCTTATATTAACTACTTTTCTGTCATTTTAAGGTCTTTTTCTTCCCAGAACTCATAAAAACAATTCAAAAAATCAAAGGAAACTTTTATAATTTTTGGATGCCATTAAGAGTTCAGTTTATCCTTGTCCTAATGTTCACCCCTAAATAAAAGTATGCTGATTCGTTCTGGTCCTTAGACATGTGTAAAGATAACATTTTGTCATATATAATACGCTTGTGTGTAAAATGGGCGGCCTCAGGATTTATCATAAAAAATATAGGGGATAAGAGATATTTTGGTTTTGCTATTTTACCATACATTTGTAATATTCTTAGATACTGTTCCATGTTTTTATGTCGCCCGCTTAACCAGTTGTGAGAGTCACGGAGTTGATACTTAGGTCACGAGTTCGCATACACTGTGTGACGTGGAGATCAGTCTTTTGGATGATAGCATTTAAACCTAGTCCCATTTTTCAGCAGGTGCTGGAAAGGATATGATTACCAATTGCTAATTAAGCGGCAAATAATGCAAAGAAAAGGTTAACTTCTCATCCCTGAACTAGCTGTAGGTGGTCGCACTTCATTATGAATTAAAAATTCTCGAGGGGACATAAGCAATCAACATTTAAAAAAAAATTTACAGATTCCCAATTTTCAGAAAGGAAATAAAAATATTTTTGTGAAGAAAATTAAAAAATACAATATAGGGATATCGCACATCTTAATGAAATTATCACCATAGAAACATAATTCTGACTTTAAAACTATATATAATTCGATCATCCATCAGGAACGGATAACTAAAAATGCAATGGCTCATATACAAAAGAGCTCTGTAGGGCCTGTCAAGCTATTTTGAAAAAAGAAGGAAGTTTATTTTATTTCTACACATAACAATTAATCTGATCCTAGGGCAAATAAATCAACATGTTCTTGGAATACATTTCCTGAAATGTTTATTTATTTAAGATTTGAATACTTTTATTCTGCATTCTGCATTTACTGGATTACAGGGTAGAAAAATGAAGGTACCACATGATCAACAAAATTGGAATGATCTGGCTAAACATGAAGCTCAAGAAAAGAGGTTCTGTTAAAGTTTTATTTCTACAAAAGTATATAATTATGATTGATGATAATAATATACGGTATATATAAATCAGATGCAAATCATCGAACAAAATAATCAGAAAAAATATAAACAAGAAAAAGTTTTACGAGAAAGATCCGATTGAAAACGCACAGTTGCTTAGCATGAAAAACTTTGATAGATTTCGAATTAAAATAAAGTAGACAATGTATCCTTATATTAACTGAAATTGCAAAGTAAACAACACATTTCTCTTGCAGTGGTGTGATTATCTTGAAATTTAAAACGTCTATCGTTCGCTCATATTTAACACCTCCATGCATTGGGAAAATGTTTATGAAATTTCTAAGTAATTTATGTTCGGTGGTTAATGAAAATAAAATTCAAACAATTTATTTTAATTAAACTCTGTATTAAAGAATTTTCTAGTTTAATTCAATGCTATCATGTGGCATCATACCTTTGAACCAGTTGCATTGAATATAACTGCTCATTTCCTGTGACTAAGTTCTTATACATGTAAAATTTCTGATTAGATGAGATTGACCCTCTTCCAACTTCTGTTTAGATCGTAAACGAAAACATCAACATGGAAGAGGAGTATGTACTGTCTTTCTATTGGATACATCCGCCAGCATGGCAGGGGATGGATTTCAGCAGGATGGAGAAAGCTTTTAATGAAATTTTAAATGGTTTTAATTATATTTCTATAATGACATTAAAATAGCAAAAGTTTACAGTTTTCTTATATGTATCACATAATAATTACTAGAATAAAATGTATGCTGGAGCATGCATATATACAGAAGTACTTTTAGTGAGTATTTTAAGGCAGTTATAAGGGATTGTACGTGCAGAGAGTCTTTACAAGTCTGTACTATATCGGCGTGACAGAAATTCATACTCTCCAAGATAACATAAAAGATTTTGCATATTTCGATTTAGAACTGCAAACTCTCTCTCTCTCTCTCTCTCTCTCTCTGTCTCTCTCTCTCTCTCTCTCTCTCTCTCTCTCTCTCTCTCTCTGTGCACCGTTGCTTAAACGTTTTGTAAGAAAAATTATCACTCCTGCATAAGTATATCTATTTCATAGAATTCACTGCTCATCCATACGTTGATGAAAATGTTGCTGTCATTACATTCGGGGGAGGAAGTTAAGTTCTTGCATTATTATTCTCACAACTACGAATCTGTTAGACAAAGTCTTGGTATTTTTTGTTTATTACAAATTCATACTTTTAGAGCTTAAAATAACTATATTTAACATACATTTGTTAAATTCAATATCAAATAAATAATATCGGTAAATGAAGCAAATGTTTTTGCATTTTAAATTCCCATCTTTTCATACCTTAGCTCTTGTAGAATGCAGTTGCAGTTCCCCTATGGAATCTGGTATTCTTCTGGCTCTGACCTGCTTGCTTTATTGAAGAGGTAAAGGTCTACAATTTATTTTCATGAAATCAAAGTACATTAATAGAAAACGTCAATTATATATCAACATTGACCAATTTAAAAATCCTATCGCATTAATGTCCTCCTTTTATAGTTTAATATTATTTACAATATAAATATAAACATTTTGTTAAATCTATAACCCCATGTGTCTGTGGCTATACCATGAATATAAAAAAAAGATTTTTAGGGACCTAAGTTTGCTTTTTGAAGAAGTTTATCTACAGATTTCAAGTAGACACGTAGTGATTTATCTTTTTATTTTCATTTAAATTAAAATTGTATGCATGTTATCTTTTTCTAGACCATGTTGCCGCCTTCAGACACAAATTGAGAGTAGAAGCAAGATTGATAATTATTTCGGATGGATGGCCATCATCATCTTCTAATGTTGGCGGCCCTGAAATAGACGGAAGCAGAAGAGAATCATTTTATGATGGGGTAAAAGTATTTTCTCATAACAAATTTTCTTGCTGTAAATAAAATTGATAATGATTTAATTTTTTATGATCAATTTGCTATCATTATTAGAGTCGTGCTTCAATGAAAACAATAAAGAATTAAGACAAGGTATATTTTTTTAATTTTAGACTATTGCAAGATTGCAATCACTAATCAATCACTAGGAAAAATTAATCCTATTGTATGTATTCCAGCAGGATTTGATCCAAATATTGTAAGTCATTTTTAGGAAATACTGTCTTTTAAAATCTTTTTCTTCCTTTTCCCTATTTAGCATAGTTTTCTTTCATATCCTACTACTTTTAGGAATTATTAAAGGGCTTAGTGCAGCTATGCAGGCGAGGTACGCTTTTAAATCATAGAGATGCCCATCAGTGTGGAAGCCAACAATTTATCATATCTCCGTGCGCCGGTTACGCCTTTGACGACGTCATTTTAATCAAACTCAATCCAACAAGACTTTGAAAATCATGATACCAATCGTCTGTTTCTAATGCTCTTTATATGAAATTTTGACACATTATTAAGATTTTGCTTCTGATTTGCTGATTTAACTAAATTTAGTTGCAATGTTTTTATAGTACTAAAGAAATGAAAGTAAATGTAATAGTTATATTCATAAATCATTCCGATATTTTTTCGTGCGCCAACAGAGCTTATCGGCTTTCATATACATGTAACTCGTCCTAATATTATTAATATGAAATATATATTTCAGAACAATTTTAAAAAACATTGAATATATGTCTATGGAAAACCTGGCTAGGATTGGTTGCATGATTTAAAAGTTATAAACATTGTCTACGACTTTTTGGGACAACCGTCGTACGTTTACAGAAATAAAACGTTTTTAAGAAAGGAACAATATTGTTTATATAATGAAACGTATTTTAACCACCGCATGTTTTATTTTTCTTCTTAACGAATAATGTGAACACGTTTTATTTTCATTTTCATAGATGCAGGGTTATATTTCAAAAGAGGAAACAAATTGACATGTTTTCCAAAT